TGGAATTCTTCTAACAACCATGGTATTGAAGGTGATGTTGGTGAGATCACCAACCTACCATGATACCATAAAACTCCCTGTTTCTCATAAAACCCAGGTCTGCCATTTCATTTCTCTCGTACTTCGGTTATCAATCTTTGAATATACGGGTCATTGGATATCTCCTCCAACAGTTTCTGCCTTTCGGCCCACATAGGATAAGAATGATGGTGTTCAATTCTCCCTCATCATAGCATCTGGATAAGGCGTCTACTGCCCTATTTTCCATCCCCGGTTTGTATCTAACTTCAAACTGATAGCCCAACAATTTGGCAAGCCAACATTGTTGATTAGGAGAGGAGATTCTCTGTTGTAGAAAATGCTTAAGGCTCTTGTGATCTGTATAAATAACGAACTCCCTGCCCAACAAGTAATGTCTCCAATGTTGAATGCATAGGACTAAGGCCATTAATTCCTTTTCATATACCGATTTTTCCAAATTCCCCTCAGATAATGCCTTGCTGAAGAAAGCTACAGGTTGTCTCTGCTGCATTCTGCCAGCTGCATCACACTCCACTTCAAAAGGTAACTCAAAATTTGGAAGCATCAAGACAGGAGATGTCATAATTCTCTTCATGTCATTGAAAGCCTTAGTGGCCTCTATTCCCCAATTAAAATTAATCTTTTTAGTCAATACCGTGAGGGGTTTTGCCACCTTGCCATAGTCCTTGACAAATTTTCTGTAGTATCCCGTGAGACCTAAAAATCCGTGCACTCCTTTCACATTTTTTGGTTCAGGCCAATCAAGGATACACCTCACCTTCTCCGGATCTACTGCAACTCCATCTCCTGAAATTATATGTCCAAGATAGTCAATCTGAGTACAGCCAAACTTGCACTTTGATTGATTTTCCACAAAGCAATGGGCTGCTAGACTCGATAATACCAGCCTCAAATGTTGTTGGTGTTCTTTAATGTCCTTGCTATATACTAGGATGTCGTCGAAGAAAAGCAAAACAAATTTCCTCAAATATGGTCTAAAAAGATCATTCACGGTGGCTTGGAAAGTAGCCGGGGCATTCATTAGTCCAAAGGGCACGACTAAGTATTCGTAGTGACCATTGTGAGTTCTAAAAGCTGTTTTCGGAACGTCACTCTCAAGTACCCTAATTTGGTGGTACCCCGATTTTAAATCGATCTTGGAAAACATAGTAGCCCCATACAACTCATCTAACAACTCATCTACTATGGGTATGGGATACTTATCTGATACCGTAGCTTTGTTGAGAGCCCTATAATCCACACACATTTCCAGCTCTTGTCCTTCTTTTTGACCAATATCACGGGGCTAGAGTAAGCACTCATGCTAGGTCTGATGATTCCTGCCTTCAACAATTCACCCACTTGCTTCTCAATCTCTTCTTTTTGATGATGAGGATATCTATATGGTCTAACGTTGATAGGGCCATGTTTCGGATACAATTGAATCTGATGCACCTGAGTCCTCTCAGGAGGTAGTTGAATCTGGTCTTTAAACACCTCAGGAAACTCCTTCAATACATCATTCAATCCATGTGATACCGTAGAATCCTCTGCTTCTATTGCCTGAAACCGTGACCACCACCAATCTGTTCCTGCCCTATTGTGAGTGTCTTCTAGGAAAGTGTTCAGATACCGCTGCCTCACATTCCTACTTCCCTCCCTGCCCTTGAAGCTTCACGAACTGATTTCCATGGAAAAATTGCATCGTCAATGTTTTCCAATCCATCACCACTTTCCCTAAAGTACTCAACTAGGAAACACCTAACACCGTGTCTAATCCCCTAACTCCAACACCAGAGCATCAATAATAATCTCTATATCTCCCAACTTCATACTAACCCCTTTGCACACCCCTTTTGTAATGACCTTGTGACCATCACCCAACTTAATATTTTTTGCAGCTACAGGAGTGACAGTGAGACCTAGAGCAGTGGTTACTTTGGGCGAAATGAAATTATGACTTGCCCCATTATCAAAGAGAGGGAAAGGTATCGTGAAGTTGATTCAGAAATGTTCTTACTTCTTAGAGATTTGGTTAGGAGAGTTTTCTGTCTGGTTAGGAGCTTTGCTTTGGAACAGGAGTTCTTGACTCTAGGTTATCACTTGTGAAACATGACGAAGAAAGAAAGGTGTACAGGCTGCATAAAGTCCTGTATGGATTGAAACAAGCTCCAAGAGTTTGGAATAAGAAAATTGATAATTTCCTAAGGGAGAAGGAATTTGTAAAGTGCACAACTGGATATGGAGTATATGTAAGAAGAAGCAATAGTGAATTGCTTATATTATGTCTCTATGTAGACAATTTGTTGATAATAGGTAGCTGTAAAAGTGAGATTGAAGACTTCAAAGGTGATCTCAGCAAGGAATTCTAAATGTCTGATTTGGGTGAGATTTCATATTTCCTTGGAATTGAATTCTACAAGAGCAGTAGAGGTTTGATGATGCATCAAAGAAGATATGCAGGAGAAATTCTCAAGAGGTTTGAGATGGAAGAATGAAACTCAACTTCGACACCTGCAGAACCAAGACTGCAACTATCGAAAGATGAAAATGAAGATGATATTGATCCAACCCAATACAGAAGACTTATTGGATCATTGAGATACCTTTGTCATACAAGGCCTGACTTAGCATACAGTGTAGGTATGATAAGTAGATTCATGCAAAAGCCAAATGTATCACATCTAGCAGCAGTGAAGAGGATACTAAGGCATCTCAAAGGAACGTTCAATTATGGCATTTTATTTCCTGCAGCTGATAAAGGAAAAGAATGCAAGTTAGTGGGATACACCGATTTGAGTTTGTGTAGTGATGCTAAAGATCGAAAGTCAACAGCAGGATATGTGTTTATGCTAGGTGGTACACTAATTACTTGGAATTCAAGAAAGGAACCAGTAGTGGCATTATCATCATGCGAAGCAGAATACATAGCTGCTTTTCTTTGTGCATGTCAAGCAACTTGGACGGTGAACTTGGTCAAAGAGATAACAGGGAAAGATCATGGAGCAATTATCATGAAGATCGAAAACATGTCGGCTATCAATATGGCAAAGAACCCAATAGCACATGGTCAAAGTAAGCACATCGAAATGAGGTTCTATTATCTCCGAGAGCAGGTAGCAGATAGGAAGATGAATTTGGAACACTACATAACTGAGGATCAGATTGCAAACATCATGACAAAGGGAGTGCAAGTCGAAGTATTCAGAAGACTAAGAGCCATGATGAACATAGATAGTTTAGACACAATGAATTAAGTGGTGTGTTAAATTGTAATCCAGTGTGTCAAAACTATGTGTCGAAAAGATTTGATTTGTTTTAGATTTAAATAGATTTGATTTAAGTCTATAATAAATTAGATTCAATTTAGTAACAAAAAGATATTTTAGGCTTTGGGCTTAGGGTGTAAGCTCAGTTATAAATAGAGGGACTAACCCCTATTTTTGTAAGCAAGTCAAACAAGTTGTATTCACAGAATTTGCTGTTGCAAGTAAATAACAAAGTTTTCACAGTTTGTGAGTAGAGAGAAACTCTAAAGAAATTATTTGTCTTGTCTTCTTTTTGTTTGTCTCATAATTAAATTGTCATTGTGGTAGAAATTCATCATAAACTTTGATGGATTTTCAACAAAAATTAGTAGAAAATTAATTATACATTAAAGTCCAAAAAAAAAACAAATAATCTAAAAGAATTAAGTTTAATGTTTAAATTTAGGACTATGATTTAAAATATAAAAAAAATGAAAAGTTAGTACAACTGACATAAGTTTTACTTTTATTTTCTTTAACTGTACAAAAATATAAAAATCTGTGCGTTCGAACAAATTTTGATATGATTACCCGTACTTTCATACGACACGGATGTGTTACTCGTGTGTTTGCACGAGTATTAGTATGGTACTCACACATTTATTTCAAAATGTAATAAAAATATGAATAATAAAAATAAAATTGTTTTACTAAAATAATTTATTATTTTTAAAAGAAACACATATTTTAAAACAGTTGTTTTATCAAAATTGTTTCATCAATAATATATATTTCAGTTTTTCATATCACTTTAAATTATATTTATATTAAAATAAAAATATTATATGCATAAATAATTTAAAAAATAACACATTTTTCTTGTGTTTGGATTAATACATTATTTTTACTTTTATTTTTTTTAATTATACAAAAAAAAAATAATAACATGTGCATTCACATAAATTTTAATATGATTATCTATACGTTCACACATTAGTGATAGATTACTCGTAAGAATACATATGTACTTATGAGGTACACTTTAATGTTACCATTTTTAACTCATAAAATAGTAAAAGTTTTAAATGAATGTGAGTATTGTTCTACATATTGAAAAAAGAAAATGAAGTTGTTGTTTTATTAAACTTTAAAAATATAAGATTTAAAGTTAAAAAATATTGAATAAATTAAATATTATAAATTTGATAGATATAAGGATATATAGAAAATGATATAACTATATAATGTTCATATTCTAGCGGCTAATTATAGTATTCTTTTCATGTGTTAATATTTCAATTGCTAGTCATAAAACAATTTGATCTTATTGATCCTAAGTTCTCCTATTCTTCTTTATTTTCCCTTAAATTATCAAACTCCTATGTAGAAGAAAATTCATATTGCAAGTGTTTTGCTATCTCTCCTAATTCCAATCTCAGCGTTTGGATTAATCCAACGGTTTAGAAACAACAAGAGAAAAAAGCTAAAAAACAAAAACCTAACCCAGTGACCAAAACTGAAATTAAATATGCATCAATACATAACCTCGTAACCGCTCATAATCCCCTTCTCCTCTTCCGCCGTCAACTCCACCGCCGTGGAACCGCCTCCACCACCGCCTTCACCCTTCAAACTCCGACCAACTCACCACCACCATACATTCCCACAAGTCCGTTCCTCAACCTTCAGATACCAAATTTCCCAACCTCGACGGCGCGGACAAATAGTAGAATGGGGACGAAGATGAAGTCCAAAACGCAAGCGGTGAAAAACAAAGACAACAATAAGAAAGCCGTTGGTAATGGAACCAACAAAGAATACAACGGTGTATTTGTTTCTTGCACCTTCTCTAGCCTTGGTCTTCACCCAACCTTATGTGACCAACTTCGTGGTACTTTTTCTTTAAACCATATATCTCTGTTTCGTGAATTCGGTGTTTTGAATCTTAATTCAACTCATGGACAAGCTTCAATCATCCCAAATTTTGATTTTTGTTTATGGATTTTTCAATTTTGTTTCAACAGAAAGGATGGGTTTTGAAGGTCCAACATTAGTGCAAGCTCAAGCCATTCCTATTGTTCTCTCTGGACGTCACGCGTATCCTTTTAATCTTGCTTTCTCTTATTTGTTACACTTCCTGCATTTAGAATCCTAGTATTAGAGTATTTGCACTTTTTTGCATTGAAAACTGTAAATTTTATATGGTTACTAGTTGTATAGTTAATGGTAAACTGGGAGGAATATACATCAATTAAATGGTTTATTAATATGGGTGTAAAATCAATACGATAATAAAGTAAGTGTAACAGAGATGAAAATGTTGTGTTGGATGTGTGGTAAGACTAGAAAAAATAGGATTAGAAATTAAACTATTATAGAAAGTGTTGGGGTAGCACCTATAGTAGAGATGATGGTGGAAAATAGACTTAGGTGGTTTGGACATGTAGAGAGAAGACGGTAAATTCTGTGGTAAGGAGAGTAGATCAAATAGAGAGAAGTTAAACAACTAAAAGAAGAGGAAGACATAGAAAGACTGTAAGAGAAGTTATTAAGAAAGATCTCGAGATTAACAATTTGGATATAAGCTTGGTTCTCGATAGAACATTATGGCGAAATTTGATCATGTGGTAGACCCCACTTAGTGGGATAAGGCTTGGTTGTTGTTGTTGTTGTTGTTATAATATGGGTGTAAAAACCTTTAGACTACCTAAGATTTGAAATGGAGGGGTTATGTTACTTCATGATATAACTTGTTTTTTTTTTGTCTTTTCATTTTGATTTTGATTTGGATTCTTTAATGAGGAAATTTAGACTGGTTAATGCTGCTACTGGTACGGGGAAGACTATTGCATACCTTGCTCCAATAATTCATCATTTACAGAGTAATGAAAAGCGAATTGAGCGATCCGATGGAACATTTGGTGCGTGTTATTTTTGTTTTGTTTACAAATTCACCTCTTTGTCCAGCTTCTCATAACTTCTACTTTTGAGAAAGAGTTGTTTACACTACTTAGCATCAATTTTGTTTTGTTACTTTGAATATGTTGAATGATCTGGTAATGGAAACAATTGTTTAAACAACAAATAATAATATAAAATAAATTTTATTTATATTATTGAATATTATGTTAGGCTGTATTTATTTTCACTTAATGCTACTCGTTTAGAGGAAAAGATGTGTGTAATTTATATGTTATGCATGAAGACTTGAATAATTTTGTATTTCTAACACAGTAACACATTGCCTCATGACAAGGCCCTTTGATTTTGAAGTATGGATAATGTTGAACATGCTTTGTATGTGTTAAAATTCAACTTCATGTAGAAGAAATTGGACTAGCATCAAATTCCTCACTTAGTCATGGAGGCTATAATACATGTGAATATCCAATATTTCAAAAGCTTAAAACATTAAGTGGAAAAATGAAAACACATTATTGAGAATAATTTCATCATCAAAACCACATGTCAAACTGAATTTATGGAAGTGTTGTCTATCTAACGTATCAATTTCACTGTTTTATAGTGTGGAAAAACAGTTATCAATTTCACAGATTTAATTGGTTTATTGGCAATAGCGCTGGTTCTTGTACCAGCGCGTGAGCTATGTTTGCAGGTTCATGAAATTCTTCAGAAGTTATTGCACCGGTTTCATTGGATTGTTCCAGGCTACATTATGGGTGGGGAAAGTAGGTCAAAGGAGAAAGCCAGGCTGCGCAAAGGTAGAAATAATGTTTATTCATCATTAATACTCATCTTTTGACCTCTTTGAAATCTGTTCTTTATTAGTTGTTTAAAAATTAAATCACGAATGTTGTAGAATAATGGAGGAAATGAAATTGTCATAGAAAGCAATTAGTGTTTTAGTATCTTTCAAGTTAATCAAAATTGTGATTTTTTTTTATGGTTCTATTTTCTGAACTTTGGGTGCATCAACGATTTCAATGCCATGCTAGAACATTTTATGATTTTGGATTTCATCACCAATACTTATGCTGTGCCAGACAACAATCTCTTATGAATAAAATAACATATGTGCACACTTGTTGTAATGGTTCGAACTGTGACTATATGATAGGGCACCTAGACACTTAGGCATATTCTAAAAGGTTGTAGAAGTAGCGAAGTAAGAGTTAACTAGCACTCCCTGAATTTAAGGTATTTTCAGTTAGAGAGGGAAGGTTAGTGAGGAATTGATTCAGAAATATTGTTAGAGATTTGGTTAGGAGAGTTTTCTCCCTGGTTAGGAGCTTTGCTGTGGAATAGGAGTCCTAGACTGTGGGTTAGTGGTTGCATTATGTTATTTTCCACCATTGTAATAGCTTTGAGCCCATCCATTTACAGTCAATAATACACCCTGTTTACTTCAAATTCTGGGTTCTATCATTGGTTTAAGCTGCCGGATTGTTGCGGGACAGGATAGTCTCCATTCGGTATGTTCAAGATGAATGAAAGGATTGACGCATTGGAAGCAGGAACGGGAAGATGGGATGGGAGGAATCCGTCAAATCATTTGTGTCGGAGTATCCTCAATTGCTGAGGGTAGAGATGGCGAAGCATTTGGGGCATGTTCCCACCGAGAATCTCAGTTCTGGTTGGGGCATGTTGTGTCGTTAACAGATACGATGCAGAAGCACAAATAAACTGAGTCCCAAACAAAGGTTACACCGGAAAAGAAAGAAGTTATGGAGAAGAAGGAAGCAAATCCTTTTATTGGTGTGGCAATCAAAGATGAGACCGTCGAAGCTGAGAAACCAAAACATAAGATCTTTCAAGGGAAATTGGGGGTAATGATGAATGAGTCAACATTGGCCGTCACATTCAAATATCAAACTCTGTCGATGGAGAAATGATTGGAGGAACCAATGCTGATTGAGCTGGGACAGCACTACAATGGCAAGGCCCTCTGCCACAAGAGCTGCTAAATGCTGGTGCACGAGTTGTGGCTCTTCTACCACCACCAAAATGACAATCTAAATCATTCCGAGAATGACAACATACACATTATTGATGGAGCCACCGGATACAGATCCATGTCCAGAGACCCTTCCGAAACAAAAACTACCAAATGGCAATCCACATGCCGCGGGAACTGGGTCCAACTCACAACCATTTTGTGTGCACAGTGCATCTAATATTGGAAAAGTTATGGAGGAGGAAGAAATAGGGAAAAACAGTAATCTCTAAGTTGGAGAGCATTCTAGAAAAATTGAAGCAGAATGGGTTTTCTAATTTCTTTGAATTGTGCTTCAGTCTAGATGTAATGGGCCAGGCTTAAACTAAGACTAGTTTTGGTGTCATACCAAGGAAAATTATTACGAGTCCCGCTACCGCCTCATATACACCTTCAGTCGATGATGTATATTGGAATCTATTGGAATTGCAAAGGCATTGGCAGCAAAAAATAGATATGAGATTGAGTTGTATATCGAGAAAGAATTGGATCCCAAGCAAGAGTTGTTCGGTCTTGCCTTGTCAATGTGTTGGGTTCATTCTTTTCAACATATCCTACTGCAAAGTCCTTTCCAAGATCAGCCTCTAATCATGTAAGTGAGACAAAATCTAGAGAAGTTGAGATAATTTCAGGACTGGCTCTTATTTTAAGTCACAAGAAAGGAGGAATTATAGCTCTATAACTTCATTTTGATTTTAGTATGGATATTATATTAAGCTGTGCAATTTACTTGTTTTGGTATGATAGTATAAACCATGCTAAGACACTTCCAATCTTGCCTTCACGTATTATGAATATTTTTTAACTTTGCTCAATCTCTGTTTCCTTGGTTTCTTTCTCACATTCAATGGGGAATCTAGCATTCTTTCAATTGTCATGGAGTCATCAGAGGGTACTTTTTGCAGTAGCTGGCAAATGAAACTATGGTAATTATCGGGGGAATTTCCCCATGTTACACAACATGAGGAATTCTGTATATGATAGAGTAAAAACTTGGGGAATATGCAAAAGGGATGTGGGATGTGATAGGGTACTATAGCAGATTATATGATATTGTGAAAGAAATGGCAAGAGAGAATAAAAGCAATGCAATTGTATTCAATCAAGGAGTCACAATTACATGTAAATAAGAAAGAAAAACGATGCAACAAACTGATAGTGGAATACCAGCCCTAAGAAGCACGTATGCCTCTTCCCAAATCACCTAGAGGTGACCCCACAAAATCATAACAGAATTCTTAGTTGCCTTTCCTCTACCTCCATTCACTCCTAATATCTCATTTTCTCATGCTACTCATACATTCTTAACCACGTCATCGTTCCCCTTTCCTTTTGTCTTTTTCCTCGTATAAACCTTCCACACCCTTGGCTCAGACCCATGCTCAAGGCCCACACTATTCACCATGTTTCTATCAACTCCCCCTCCTTAGAAACAACCTTGTCCTCAAGGCAGAATTCAGGAAATTGCCCAACTAGAAGTTCATTGTCTTCCCATGTCACATCATCCATGGACCGATATTTCAAACATAGTTTTTCTTATTGTTAAAAATGTGGGATATGTATATGATTGTGAATGCATATTTGTGAACATCTATATTCAAGTTTAAGAATTATTTATACCTTTTGACATTTGTTGTTTCTTTAATAATTCTTCTTCTAATCTTCAAGACTTGTAACAAGGTTTTATATGATATTGATAAACTTTTTGCACATCCTTTGAATGTTGATATCCATGTTGTCTTCATCAAAACCAATGCTTTAAACATGACTTGAGAAGCTTGCAATTACATTCTCCCCCTTTTTGATGATGACAACCAAGTCTTGAAAACAATTCTTGAAATGTTTATGTTGTTTTGTGTAGCAAAAATGTTAAGCAAATGCAAGGCTCCCCCTAAATTGTATGCTCCCCCTAAGTCCATGATTCTTTGAATTTTGGAGTGAGTTTTATGATAGTTATTTTGGCCTGCAATTTCTTTGAAACAAAACAACACATATGCATATTCTTCTCCCCTTTGTTAACATAAAAAAGGATGGGGAAAAAGAGTGAAACAAATTTATTTAAAAAACACAAACAATTTTAAACACAACCACACACTAAAACACGAACATAACAAATTGTACGATACAACATATAACAACGAAACATAAGAAACCTAAACATCACGAAACATAAGATGGAACATTGTCTAGACATAACAAAGTAAAACACGAAAATGAAAGAAATGACATAGAAATTAAAAGTAAGTCTTTAGTCTTCATCCTCATTCATCTCATCACCATCATCTTCACTTCCATTTTCACTACCACTTCCACTTCCGGATTCCTCTTCCTCTTGAACTTCTTTTCTATCAAGGTGATCAAGAATAAGCTTTTGAGTTCTTTGGACATTGCGTAGTTATCGCCGTGCGGAAGCATTTTCTTGTTGGAGCACATCAAAGCGATCATCCACATGTCTTTGGAAGATGGTCATTTGATTAAACAACATGTCTATGGTGTAGCCGCCTTCGGGAGGTTGAGCAACATAGTGGACAGTTGGTTCGAAATCCTCTTTGTAGTGAAAGTGACCTCTTGCATCAAGAATGATTCTGGTGTTCTTAAGAGCGGTTGCATCTGTAATAGCCTCCTTATCTCCTTGAATTCTTGTAACTTCCCGTTGAAGGTTAACATTAGCATTTTCCAGAATGTGAGAAATGGCTCGAGCAAATGGTAAACCACCATCTAGAGATTCCATAAGTTGCATATGGTACATAATAGAAAGTGTCCAATTAACCTAATAGAGAGTAGTTGTTATGCAACGTGTCATTGATCTGTTACAGCTATATGCCAGCTGTACAGTTAGTTAGATCTAAGGCTACTTTATATACCATGCCTTTGTACTCTTTCTATCTAAGATCAATATATGAGATTTTCATATTTCTTCTTTTCTCTCTCTTATGGTATTGTATCATGGTATCTAGAGCTTCTTCTTTCCTGATCCAGTAATCTTCATTCATGGCGTCACCGTTTCGCAGCGACGGCGCCTTTCCTTCCGCTCACGTCAAGCTCTCTGTTAAGCTTGATGATAAAAATTTCAAATAGTGGAAGCAACAAATCGATGGAGTTGTGCATGGCCATAAGCTTCAACGCTTTGTCACTGTTCCGGTGATTCCGCAGCGTTCGCCGGTGACTTCTGATCCGAATCTTAGCGAAGTCACTGATGCGTATCTTGATTGGGAGCAACATGATGCTCTTGTCTGCACGTGGCTTCTCTCCACGATTTCTGACTCGCTTCTTCCCAAACTTGTGGATTGTACTTACGCGTGGCAGGTTTGGACGGAAGTTCACCGCTACTTCGCCGTGCAGCTCACGACGAAGGCTCGTCAGCTACGATCTGAACTTCGCCGTCTTTCCAAAGGTAATCTCAATATTGAAGCGTTCATGGCGTGAGTTCGCGAAATCAATGATTCGTTGATTTCAGTTGGAGATCCTGTTCCGATGCGTAACCTAATTGAGATTGTGCTGGATGCGCTTCCTGAGGAGTATGATTCGATTGTTGCTGCTGCCAATAGTAAGGAAGATCTCAGTACGTTGGAGGATCTTGAATCCAGTCTTCTTGCTCATGAATCTCGATTGGAGAAACACAGGAAAGCGCTTCTCACTGGTCCTGCTTCAGTAAATCTAACGCAGGTTCCGCCGTCTGAATCTTCTTCTCCGGCTGACTCTGTTTCGCAAGCTTCTGACTCCTTTCCAACTGGTACTAGTCACGTTAATGCTCACGCAGAAAGCAGTGGTTACAACAGAGGAGGTCGTTCAGGGCGTGGTGGCAGTCATTTTGGTCGTCACGGCGGTCGTTTTGGCAAAACTCAGTGTCAAATCTGTCACAAAAGTGGACACGATGCCTCTGTTTGCTACTACAGGTACACTCAGTCCTCTCCAAAGTTGTTTCCGCCGCAACAAGCTCCCTTCAATCCATTTCTGGCGAATGCTCGTCCTGTGTATGCTCCTGTCTTTGGTTATTCCTCACCGAGACCAGCTGCACCACGACCTTCTCCGCCTCAAGCCGTTGTGGCTAGTTCTGATCCGAACTTCAGCAACCAATGGTGGTATCCTGACTCAGGTGCCTCACACCATGTTACACCTGACTCTTCCAACGTGCCTAATGCTCAATCTGTGACTGGTTCTGAACAAGTCTTCATGGGAAACGGCCAAGGTTTGTCCATTAACTCTATAGGTTCCATGAAATTTCCCTCCTCTCATCTGTCTTACACACCTCTTATACTTCACAACTTACTTCTTGTTCCTCACATCACCAAAAACCTCATCAGTGTAAGTAAATTTGCACAAGATAACAAAGTTTTCTTTGAATTTCATCCTTCTTTTTGTCTTGTCAAATCTCAGGGTTCTTCTGAGGTGCTTCTTCATGGTATTGTTGGAGATGATGGTCTTTACAAGTTTCAGATTCCTTCCTCTCAAGTGTCAAAGCCTTTGTATAGTCTCCATTCTAGCTTAGCTTTAGATTTCAATAATTGTAATTCTAGGGCTTCATGTAATACTGTCTCTCATTCCAATGATATTAGTCATACTATTACTGATTGTAATCCTTCATTTTCTATGAATAAAAATGATGTTTCTGCTGTTAATTTGCCTATTGTTTACTCTACTGCTATGTCTGTTCCTACTCTCAGTAAGTATGCTTTGTGGCATACCAGG